TAAAAACTCACTGAAACAATGATACCACATTCTGCCAGATTGTTTTAATCCATACATTAATCGTCTCAATTTGATTGAGTATATACTTCGTGGTCTTAATGTATTTGCTTCAGGCAATTTCAATCCTCAGGGACCTTCATATAATTATAAGTATCTAGAATTCCATATAAATATGCGATAACTACATTCATAAGACGCATGTTGAGTCTTACTTAAATTGTAAGACTAATTAAGTACCAAAATGTAATGACATCCATTATCGGTGAATGTCTTTCATCATAAACAATCCCAGGTCTCTGCTGGAACCCTTGTGCCACTAGGAGTACTTTATATCTTGTGATCTCAATTTTATCATTTTGTTTTCTAACAAATACCATTAACCAAGTGGTATTATACCATCAAGTGTTAGGACTACAGGTCCAAACACTTCACGCTTTTTTAGAGAATCTAATTCTGTTTGGATAGTTCTTTCCAATTATGTTTAGATTGACATTCACCAATAGAGCGTGAATTGAGATCATTATCATTTAAAATTTCAGTCGCCACTAAAAAAAATATATCATATATAATCATTTATGTGCGATCCCACATTTCTCTTAAGCATGCATAATTAATAGAATTTTATTTATTGTGAGACACTTGTATCTTTTCAGGAGTATGTGTCTCTTCAGTTCACTTTTTCCTCTTCAGGAAGTATTATTTGAGATAATGTGGGTGCATCTTGGTTTTCGGCAACTTTTTCAGGAGTCGTATGTAATTTGCCTTTTGTTTTCCTCTTCCGTAGAGCTAAATCTTTCGAACCTATTGAGTCGTCCATGCATAAGGTGTGCAACTGAAGATTCATTTGCTGCCATAGGTTTTTCAATTAGAATATCAATCTTTACTTTTGTTGATTCAGGAAATGCATCAGACAACTGATTAAAATTTTTTTGTAGATGTATGATTCTTTGTACTTCAGTTTCACATTGAGAAGTACATGGATCAAAATGGGATATAGATTGTACTTTCTACGCGACAATCTTTACGAGAAGTCTGTTTCATTAAAATGACAATCCGCAAATCTTGCGGTAAAAACATCACCTACCAAATGCTCAAGATACCTTATGATTGAAGGTGAATCATACCCAATGTATATTCTCAATCGACGTTGACGACCCATTTTAGTATATTGAGTGGGTGCAATTGGAACATGTACAACACAACCAAAAGTTTGATACAAGTTGTGAAGGTGAATATTGATGATAGGCACTTAGTCGGATACGAACTAAGGCAGTTGCATGTAGAATGGCATGTCCCGAAACAAAAATGGGTACCTTTATCCTCATAAGTAAAGGTCGAGCAATCATTTGAAATATTTTGATAAAAGACCCAGCTAAACCACTTTGGATATGAGTGTGAACAACTAGAAGCTCAACATCAATCCCGGCAAACATAGAATAGTCGTCAAATGTTTTGGATATAAATTCACCAGCATTATCAACACGAATTGCTCTGATGGGAAAATCTGAATATTGTGTCCGCAACCAAATTATTTGTGCAAAGAAACGAGCAAAAATAACGTTATAAGTAAATAACATAGACACGCGAGCATCTTATTGATACATCTATCAAGACCATAAAATAACGAAATGGTCCACATGATGGATAAATAAGTCACAATATATCCCCTTGAATTCATTGAAAAATAGTTAGAGATTCAACATTAACCTTTACAAGAGATGGTCTAATAATTAATTTACCTTGTGAGCATGCAGTACACAAATAATTTAGACACAAGAATCTTCTCGTTCTTTAATGGACACCTATGTGAGCTATCAATAATCCGACGCATCATTATTGACCCTAGGTGACCTAGTCAATCATGCCACATTATAAAATTTTTTGGAATCAATTATCTTCGGGCTCATTACATTATTTGATTCAATCGTTATTATGGTTGTACGGTACAACCCAAAAGAAAAACCGAAAAATTTCTCTAATATTAGCTTTTGGTTGGCATTAATACTAGTAATACAAAGATATTGTGTATTACCGTCATTCACAGTTTCAATATGAAATCCATTACAACATATATCTTTAAAACTCAACAACTTTCTTCTAGATCTGATTGAATATAGTGTCATTGATTTTTAGTATTGTTCCATTTTCGTAACATAATTACTACTTTCTGAAGCCTTCAATCAAATTTGCAAAACCTGGTATTGTATTCATTAACTTCAGCTAACGTCAACTTTGAGAAAAATCTTTTGTCTCGAAAGATTTTATGCGTTGTATTTCTATCTACCAAACATGCATCTTCAGGATTCGCAATCATTAGTAACAGCTAAACCACGCATGAATCAAATTGTCAATACTTCAAAATTCTTTCAAAAAATGGAGTCTTTCCTTGACTGATTAGAGACTCGTGTCAATAACGTGTTGTAAAATCGACAGAATACTAACAATATATAAAGAGTAATGCACAAAATATATTTAAAATAAGTTATTCAGGAACTCAATATATCAATGTGTTGATCTTCTGGAGTACACTTTTCTTTTTCTTTCTTATTTCATTTGTTATTTTTAGTGTGTTTCTCATATCTAAAGTCGGCCTTTTATAGGCAGAGAATACACCCAACCGGAGGGCAGTTGGTGTTAGGGATAGTAGAAGTAATAGTAGTAGTAATGACAGTGGGTCATCCATCACATGTCAATGTTTCATAACATACATATATATGTCTAATTCCAAAGAAATCAGAGTCTCTGAAGTTGAAGAATTTTAGGCCCATTAGCTTGGTTACAAGTTTGTACAAGATCATTGCTAAAATTCTTGCTATTAGGCTAAGGTTATGCTTGAATGAAACAATCTCCGGAAGTTAGGGGGCTTTTGTGAGGGAAGGACATATTATGCATGTAGCACTTGTAGCTAATGAGGTTGTTGATGAGTATAGGGGCAAAAGGAAGGAAGGGTTTATGTTTAAAATTTATTTTGAAAAAGCTTATGATCATGTGGATTGGAGTTTTCTTGATTTTATTATGGAAGAAAAAAAAATTGGAGGGAGACGGAGGATGTGGATTAGGGAATGTTTGGAATCAATGAATTTTTTAGTAATTATGAATGGGAGACAAAGGGGAAGATTTCAAGCTTATTGAGGGCTCAGACAAGGTAGAGCGAAGTAATTTGGTTGAAAGCTTTATAATCATATCTCCATTTTTGTTCATTTTAGTGGTCAATGTTTTGAGGAGATTAATAGAAAAGGTAGAGGGAAGTAATTTGGTTGAAGTTTTGTAATAGGGAGGGAAAGGATTATAGTATCTCATTGCAATTAGCAGATGATACTATTTTCTTTTCTTCGAGGGATGAGAAGAAACTAAAAAATTTAAAATTGATTGTTAATGTGTTTGGTGTTGTTTCAAGACTTAAGGTTTATATGGAAAAAAATATTACTGTGGGAATTAATTCTAGTGAGAAGAAAGTGAATGATGTTCAGTGGGTGAGTAGCCTTTGAGATATTTAGGACTTTCATTGGGTGGTAATCCAATGTCAAGAGACTTTTTGGGATCATGTTATTGATAAAGTTAGAAGGAGGTTAGATGGTCTAAAGAAATCTTTCATTTCCGAGGGGAGGGGTAGATTAACTTTGATTTAGTCGGTTTTGTCTAGTATTCCCATTTATTTTATGTCCTTTTGTAAAATGTCTGGTGGGTGGGCTAGGGAAATTGACAGGTTAATAAAGAGATTTTTATGGGAAGGGGCGGGAGAGGGTTGGAAAGGACCATTTGATTTGATGGGAAGTAATGACTAAGCCTAAAGAGAAGATAGGGCTTTCGGTGGAGAATTTGGTGAAAAGAAATATAGCTTTGGTTTGAAAATGACTATGGAAGTTACCTTTGGAATATGATTAATTGCGGCATGTCGTCCTTAGGAGTAACTACTGGTTAATGTGTGCAATGCTAATGGGGTTGAAAAAGATTCTTTTTAGAGTCCATGGAGGTTTATTTCCCCAGATAACCCCAGTTTTTCTCAGAAGATCAAGTTCATTGTGGAAAATGAAAATCGAGTGCATTTTTTGGAAGACAAATAAGGTGAGGAGTCTTCTTTTTCTTTTCTCTTTCCACAGTTGTATCTTCTCTCTAGTTATCATGATAATTTTATTGCATGTATGGTTCGGTCATATTCTAATCCGATTTCTTGGAATTTTGGGTTTCATAGGAATCTAAATGATAGGGAATGTTCGGAGTTGGCGAGTCTCCTATCTATTCTTCATCGTGTTTCTTTAGTTCAAAACTCAATGGATAAGAGGAAGTGGATTTCATCGAGGATATTCTCTAGTAAATCGTACTTTGATTTTTTAATTGATAATCCTTTGTTTCCTTTTCTCTATCCATCACTGAGGATTTGAAGGGAGAAAGTGCCTTTAAAGATAAAAGTTTGTGCAAGGATAAATGCTCATAGGAGAATTAGCACAAATGAAGTTCTTCAAAAAAGGGGACCAAATCTTGAGTGAGGATGTGGATCATTTATTTTTGCATTGCCCGCTGGCACAAGCATTATGGAATAAGCTCTTTAACTTTATGGGCATTGCGTGGGTTGCTCAAAGGACTATGGCATCTATGTTTTGTTTGGATAATGTGGGATGTAGAGGGAATAGCAAATGGAAAATCAATTGGCATAGTGCCTTCTTTACTACTGTTTGGGTGATTTTGAAGGAAATGAATGTCGGGATAAATGTGATGATTTTGAAGGTCTATGGAAAAGAATCTATTTTTTAGCTTCCTTTTGGGTTTCAATGTCCAAGGAGTTTCAAGATATTCCGCTTTTTTGTATTACAAGAAGTTGGCAAGCTTTGTGCAGATTGTAATTTTTCTGATTTGATTCCATAAGCTTCGTTTAGTTTGGACTGATTGTCCACACTTGATGCGAGTCTAGGCTTTTGTAATTTTCTTTTTTAATAAATAAAATGTTTCTTATCGAAAAAGTTTAAAGATAACAAAATGAAAGCCCATTGCTGCTGATCTACCTTACTGTGAAGACCACTGTCAGTGACATTTATTAAACGCAAAACCCGAGCTGAAAGTTCTGCATCCACTACTTCTTGTGTATCCGAGCTGCAAGACAGAAACAAAAGAACATGGACAGATAGTTATAATACCAGACTAAGTATGGTATTGTATGCGAGGGAGAAAAATGTATTTCATCTAGTGAATAGGTTTGTTTACCTGCAACCAGTACTCTGTTTTATTTTCAGGATAGCAGCAATTATATGCACGACCCAAGCAAGCTTGGCTTCAATCACAGATAGTTCAACATTATTATCACCTGTCTTGACCTGTGCTCTTTCCTATTAAAGCAAACAACCAATAAATAAATACATATAAAAATTCATGATGAACTCAACCATGTATAATCTCAATGCACCATACAAATAAAACATACCGTGTATATTTGTAGAATAGGCTCCATAATGTTTATAATAAACATGCTACTGCTTTCATACTGAAACTCCGGAGAAGGAATTTAAGTCACAAACCAACACCATTTTGCAAAACAAAAAAAAAAAAAAAAACAAGAAGAAAAAATAACACATTTCTTTTAAGATACATGAGATAAGGTTTTGGGATGACAGATTCTAAGGCTGGTAAACTAACGAAGTACATGTCATATATGCAGGTTATACCTGAAATCTGCAAAGATATGGAAAACAATCGAGATGATCCTGAAGAAGCTCAACATTGTCGAGTGGATTCTCAGAAAGGTCATCCGGGAATCCAGCCTAGGCACAAGAAGATGAAAATTTCAATTTCGGGGTGTCTCCATAATATGAGAGCTCAAAAAAAAGCATGTGCTTAACTATACCTGCACTGAATCAAACCTTGATGTGATAAAACCTTCAGTGATCTTCGGCACAAATTCATCGAGCAAGCTTGGGGCATCACCCTTCAAGTATGGTACAGATGTTACCAGCCTGGACCACAGCCCTAAAAGGTAGTATACACTGCTGCTTGCCCACTGCAAGTAATCATGAACTAGATCAGCATATGGGCACGAAGGACCTAGGATTGAACATCAGTGGTGGGAGAAGTTTGGTTAGGGGGTGAACTATCCCCCTGGGTAATGTAACCCAGCCACAGGTCCATGATTCTACTCATACATGAAATCTTTGAAGAAAGTTAACCTGCCAAGATTGCAAAGACTTCAACGTGAACTCTGCTACCAGACGTATCCAATCACTATAGCCTTCTACATTCACAAGCTCTGACAACTGCAAGAAAGAAAATACCATAACTTTGCAAAGAGAGGAAGTCACGAAACATATACATGCAACTTTACTATATAAATTGAAACTAAAAAAGAAAATCCAATTCATTTCCCAAACGCCACAATGTATAATGAAAATTTTAGATAACCAAAACAACTTTTTGTTCTTATTATCAGACACAAGTAATATTACAAGAAGTACTATACTATATATAACGACAGACAATGAGAAATCTTTGACAATAAAAATATTGAATACACCTAAGAAACCCAAACCAAGTCTTCCGAACTCTCGAAAAGGTACAAGGTTACTGCTTCTCAGTTGGCCAGAAAGTATGCCTCTTGTTACCAATATAGGAAGGCATCTAATCTCTAAGGAAGCAAGAAGGTTATGATCTTCCTCAAATGGTGAGTACAATGCCAGGAAGCAACGATGAAACTTTTTGCCTACCACAACGGTCAAAAACTTCAGTCATTGGTAAAACAATAAAATGCATATAGAATGACCCTTTCTCAAGCCTTTTAGGAAAATTAATATTTCTACCTCCATAACATATTCTACACTGGCTGACTTTAGAAAAGCAAGAATCAAGTTCTCTTAATTCTCTCTAAAATCTGTTCTTGCCATATGACCTGGTTTACCAAGACGTCAAGACCACATCCATCAAACTTGTACTTAAGTTTCCCTTTCTGCTAAGAGCTTCAAGCAGAAGGGGTTAAATTACAGTGACTTGAAATACTGGTGATGGCCTTCCAACATTCAATATTAAAGCTCAGTTGCACCACTTGGACAGAATTTCTTATTGAATATCCAATACCTTCTGTTTGAATTATCTAATGGCCTTTTAGGGGAGGCATCAAAGACAATCTCAACCAGCTCTAAGGATCCCAAGACGGGTATGGCTTTTCTTGACCGGATCGGGTATATCTCGCCTCTTTCCCGCTTTCCATCGGACGATGCCTACTTGACTTGTGAAATCCGCTTTCCCTAAACTAGATAAGGAAAAGGAAAGAAGAGATGCTCTCAGCTTTATAGCTTTACAAAAAGCTAACACAATTGAACTACCGAAAACAGCTTAATTTATATGAGCCGACTACCAAAACACAAGGAGGTTACTGCGGTGACCAAGCTATGACTGCTACACGTGCACGCAACAAGAAAAGATTAGATAGATTAATGAGCTTAGCTGCCCTTCCCGTAACTACCGAAAGTACCTGTCTACCTAAGAAAGCTAGTAGTTCAAAAAGAGTATCCTCATTCAAGCTAGTGGTGATTAGTAGGCCTGACAATCGTGTCGAGTGAAACAGTTTCGTGTCGGGTGGCAGTATTTCCACTATCACCCAAAAAAAACCAAACTATGCCTTACATAACCACAAAACCAAAAATATTAAGTAAATAAAAAGCTTGTCCCCATATTTCTTCTTCCAAAGTACCCTGTCCATCATATTCAAACCATTACTTCCAAGCCAAATAACGCAAATTAAATCTAATAGAGCACTTTGCCAAAGGTTAAAGATCTCTCCGTTAACAGTTTTTTAAAACAATCTTCAACCAAGACAGGATTTCAAAAGTGCAACCCAAGCAATCCTTATATCAGAAAACAATCTTGGTTGTAAAGCATTGAAAATTATACAATAATAATAGTTTTGTAACTTCTACAAAGAATTACACACATCCATGCTAACAGCTATATAGGCCTTTCAGTTCGAAGCATCTTATATGTATTTAACCCCTTGTGGGCAACTGAACTGGCCGAAATCCTTAAGTTTTCAGGGAACCATAGCCTTCCAAATCAAATCAAACACTGGAAAAAAGGGTGGAATTACTAGAAACATGACTCAAGTAAAATAACCATTCTTATCCCATCAACATCTATCATTCAAGCTATAATAATGTTTTATTTGGTACGATGAAAAATGGAAAGATGGAAAGTTAAAAGGATAGATAAAATATTATGTTTGGTAAGTAAGGAATATAGGAAGATGGAAAAGTGGATGGATTAGTTTTCTTTCCAACTCACCAAAATAATCTCTCCAAAATTAGAAGGAAAAGTAAATGGAAAGTTAATTGTGTGTTAAAATGTATGTTATTTACCTATATATCCTTTAATATATGTATATATCATATTTATTTTTTACATATTATATATACATTAATTTTATATAGAGATATAATAATAAAATATACATCTATATTTTTTCATCCTTCTACTTTTTTATCCTACCAAACACAAAAAAAAAATCAATACTTCCTAATTTTCATCCCTCCCACCAAACACAAAGGAGGGAAAGAAGGACTCCACCTTAAAGAATAGAAAGTGTATCACTCTCACTTTCCATCTTTCATTTTTTCATCAACTCAACCAAACACACCACAAGAGACATAAAGGAGAGGAAACAAGTTGCATCTAAATTAATTTGACACTATATGCAGATCTTCAACACACATCCCATGTGAGACAATGCTTGCATACACAGCCATGTAGCATTACACAGAAATCGATTATTAACACAACACATATGAGCAAACACAAACAATCACTGACTCACCATACACAGCATACCAGAAAACGAGAATTAAATATGAAACATATAGAATAAAATACCTGATAATTGACTCTGAAACGCCCAAGAAGACGACAATATTCATGGTAATTGTCATGATCAGCAAGACCTGATTTCCAGTCCCAACATGACATTTATAAATGTCAGGGATTGGCAAAGAAGAAAAAGAAGAAGAAATAAAATGCTAAAGGGCAAATTAGCCATGTAAAAAGTGAGTGGGGCATAGCAGCAAGCCAGTAACCAAAGTTGAAGTAATCAGCAGCATCATTACTAATTTCACTTTTAAACTACTAAACGTCCCATTCATAAAAGGTAAATGCAGAAGTCAAAACAGAAATTTACAGAAACAATAGTTTATATTCCCTTAACAGAGCACAGTGGCGGAATAGAATTTATGTAACCGACCCCAAATAGTTGGGACAATGTTTGTGAGTTGACTCGCATTTATACTATGTACTCATCCATACTCCTTGGTCACAGTTTCTATGCCTGACAATACCAAGATTGTTAAGATGCATGCAGCTAGATGAGAATGACAGGTTGTAGATATCTACATGTTCTATCTGTTAGATATCTACATGGTGATGGTAGTAATAATTGGTGATAGGTGGTCGTAGAACAATGAGAGTAGACATGATTGATATACTGTTTTGGATCGCAGTTCGCTTTGGAAATCTCATTTGGATTGATTTCATTATAATATAATATATAACAACACACCCATATACACATAGTCAATCAATACATATTTTATATCTGTGATATAGTTTCAAAGAGATTGACCCAAAACCATGCACCAGCTAACAGTTTGAGGAAGATAACCACAAGTCAGCAATGCAAGCAAGCAAGATCGAATGAAGTTGTGCAAGATGACTTCGAGTTTTCAAAAGAAAGAAGAGAATTAAAGGAAGACACTTCGGGGATTTTCAAGTGTCAAGCTGGGATGGACGATCTTGAAAAAGCCTTCTTTGATGTTTCTGCAGTTTAGAATGAGTTGAATGGCTCCACCATGTCTGATTCTGATGAAGGGGAGATTCCAACTCCCGAGTCACTATGCTCTGAAGACAATTCTTTTGTAGCAGAATATGATCTGGAAATTAGTGGATTTTTTGAAGAATATTCATTACATGAGACTGATATTAAGTCTTTGATAGCTTCTCATGAAAGAAAAACAAGCATCTATTGTTCAAGACTTCTCTCAATAATATTTCTAGAAATTAACATAAATGAAAGATATGTGAAAATCACATAAAATATTAGTAGAAAGAAAAAAGAAGACGATAATTTTTTTTTTTGGGGAAAAAATGGTTTTTCTATTCCATGTAACATTTGTAAGAAAGACTAATTTGTATTGATTGATACCTTTCTTTTCGTTCTTTCTCATTCAAATCTATACCTATAGAATCCGACGTGCCCTAAAGATCAAACGCGTCGAACTCTAATAACAAAAAGAATCCAAAAGCCCCTCCACTACTATCTTTGCCTATATTCTCATTCTACACTTAAGTTACATGTAATAAAATACATTAAAAGATCTAAATACCCCACCATTGTTGCTTACCGAAAAGCTTCTATTTTCTATTAATTTAACAGGTCAAACCCTGGAAAAAAATGCACCTAATTTAAATTTTCAAAGTCTAATGCAGTTGGTCATTAATATTTAAAGCATACATTACACAATTTGATAAAAGACATCCTAGTACTTCTTAAGTTACACTCTCTCTAACAATTTAAGCTTTTGGAATAGATGGTTGTTTAAAATGATATCAAATTAGAAGGTCCTACTTTCAATCTCGTAGTCAAGGCGTCAACCTAATGATTAAAAGATTTTCACATGCTAGGCCCATCCTTCCACAAATGAGGGAACTTATTGAAGTATAAATGCTTAAATTACACCCTCTATAAAAGCTTAAGCATTTGGAGTAGATGGTTGTTTAACATACCGTTTTCGATAAACAAAAAATAAAGTTAATTTTATCTATAATATAAAACAAAGCGGGACTTCAATAAGCTGATCAAACGGTCACAATTCATCCAATGGCTACAACATCCAAAGGCTCACAATACAACTCATTCAATGGTCTAAAATTACTCCCACAAAATTTTTCCCCTCACATATGTCACATCCAAACCCAAATCCTAATGCTCTAAAACTGATCCAAAGGTTGAAATCACTCCGATCCTTCTCTCGGGAGTCTTCTCTCTCTTTGCTCACCCCTATCAACTTCAATTCCCTCAACCACTCCCCTGCATAATACCCAGCGTCTCTCTGCCCCCATCTCCCTTATATCTCCCACCCTCTCTTTGCTCCTCTCCCTCCTTCTTTCTCACCCTCCTCTCTGTTCTCCCACCCCCATATCAGTCGAAGGAAGCCGCCACTTCCCAGTAGCGACAACAACAGCGATGTTCCCAGCTCTACCAACAGTCAAGTATCTCTCTCAGTGGTAAGGACCTATCTCC